CCTCTAAAACGCGGGGTACATGTCCTCACAGCGTGAACGGCGCAAACTTCCTTTGTATTTATTCACTTTTTATTGGTATCGCCATTTTAATATAACTGCGTACATACTGGGCTTCCGGTATTCCAGGATGGTCCCTGTCTTGTTGCTATTGTTTTGAATTAGTTACTGCCATACGGCAATTACTGAAGGAATATTAAGAAAATTATGTTGCTCGGGACAATATTTTTTTCTGTAATGTCTGTAAAAGATGATTATTAAGTTATGAAAAATTTAGCTGCGTTTATATTTTAAGATGCTCAGTTTTTACAGTAATTAAGAAGTAAACATTGTGAATATTGAACATACGACATTGGAATCATTGTGAGTTGACGTTAAGGAGTTTGATTACCATATTCTTAGTATTTTTTAATATTTATATAGTGTTCATCATGTTGTTATATCAGGTGCTTTGTTGGCATTGTTATACAGTTGTATATGCTACGCAAAATACCCACCGCGTAGAACGGTTTTCTTTCACTAGAGGCAGCTTTCTGTCCGAACATTGTAATGTTTCAACTTTCCATATAAAATCCCAGTGATAATAAAAAAAGGTGGATAAAATGCTGTTTCATTGCTTGTATTGTGATGCATGTGATCAATATATTATCAGATTACCTGTACGTCGAGTTTTAGTCCTGAGCTATGTCTACTCCTTGATGATTATTATTATTATTATTATTATTATTATTATTACAATTTTTTGTCTCCATAGCTCCACGCTTAACTACACGTAGGCGGTAAATTTATGACGATATTATTTGCTTGAACTCTCAATGAATACATACGGTACATTTATATATAGGCTCTCAATACTGTGGACTATGATTCAGCTAGTAAAAACTCTAATTTCCAGAGGGGACCATCTTCAGAAATAGAAGTGGGGGGGGGGGGAGGACTCCCACCCCACCCCCCCCTAAATCCGCCACTGCATTATTGATCGATCTTGTTCTCAACATTTCCAGGCACAGTTTTGCGTCCCTGACACTCACAGTTACCAAGTACGCTAAATGTGTCTCTTTTTAACGCATTTCAGTAGAATTAAAGACACAGACCTATTAGATCACATTTGAAAGCGATTAGATCGGAAATTAATTGAATTTTAGATTCGTTCTCTTTCCATTATCTCATTTTAACGTAAGAAAATTACGAATTAATTGAAATTCAGATATGTTCAGAGTGCATCAAAGGCAAACTGCGCATTAAAGATTTTCCCTGCAGTAAAAGCGAGTTTTCGTGCAAATTCTGATATTTTGACGGTCCAAAATTGGAATAAAAGGAAAGAAAGAAAGAACAATAAAATGTGTGATTGGCCGTTTTTCTGTGTTGGAAATAATATCTTTATTTCAATTCCATGCCGGGGAGTTGCCCATAGACACGAACCAAAAAACCAACTTGGCGCGACGTTTCATGTTCCCTTCACTCGTTTTTGATGACTTTAAACTCGTGTTTAAACTGATGCTGGGCCATTAAAAGGGCGTTCCTCTTTGAATTACTAATTCCTGCACGTGCACGTAATTTGGTCTACGTACTATAATTAATCCGATAAAACATTTTTACTTGTCTTCCTCGAGGGTATCGACAGGAGATAGCGTTGTACCATGGGGGTTGAAGCTCCATTAATTGAGTGAATAAATTATGTTGTCGCGATTTGGGTAAACGAGATAAGTATCTAAATGATTCATTGTGAGCGTTTTGAATTGTCCCTGATTCCCGTTTTCTGTATCTACATGTTCTGAAATGCTACTAAAGTTTCCCAATTCAGACCAAAAACAACTATAAAACCCCTCAAATAAAAGTACCTGGCGTTGATAGAAGTTCCTTCTGCACAGGAAGACATGGTATTCTAAATGACTGGCAAGCCACTAAAAAATTTAATTAAATTAGATTAAATTAAAAATTGGGTGATACATCGATCCAAATGCAGTGATTAATGAGTAGGAATTTTTTTTTTTCGAGTTAAATCCATTTTAGCAGCCAGACCCCGAATAGGATAATTTTCTGTGAGAGAGAGAGAGAGAAAATAAACTACAAAAATAAAGCATCAGAGAACATAAGCTCTGAGTCGTATCGGGCTGAAATTTGTTTGGATCTAACTAAATATGTCCATTAGGTCTGGTCGGAAAATACATTTAGAAATGAGCATGCTATTCCAAATGTCCCCAAAAAATTACTCTAAGGTCCGATAACTTCATATTCTTACCTACATGTCCTGACAGAGAGAGAGAGAGAGAGAGAGAGAGAGAGACAACAAATAAACTAAGAAAATAGAACATCAGGGAAAACGGGTCCTGTTTAAAATTCTAATATATTGCATACACTGGACCTGGAGGCATATCAAACAATTACCTCGGCGTGACGAGGTACGTGACAAATTCTTGTCCCTGCTGAGCTTTTACAGGCCCGTAGCCAACAATTTCAAGGGGGGGGGTATTTTATCTGAAATAGAGGGCCTTAAATTAAAACCTTTGTGTACCTAGATCAGATTTTATACAGAGCGGATCTTTCTCCCCACAAAACGGTGGTTGTTCAAACCCCCCGCCCCTACCCCCACCCCCTTTGGCTTTGACCTGTTATAGCTGAATACTTATACCTTATTATTTCTTCCGGCCATGAAATATATTGATTAATATTTTGCTAGGAACTCATACATGTACCAACTACCGGGTACATGTAACTCTTTTATCAGAATTGTGAAAGCTTTTAGGCAAACATTTCTGAATAACCAAGTCAGTATGTTTGAGGTTCATTCCCGAGCACGGTGTAATTGCCTCTTTGGTCATTATGGGACCATTCCCAGACGCTATCGTACTAACTGTGGATCGATCTATCTCCTAGGGGATTCATGCTTAATTGCAATCAACTTAAGCGGCTTAGATGCCTGTCACGCCTTTTGGAGCTATGGGGTAATTAATTATCGTTTAGCAGCTTCAGTAGGCGTGCCGGACATCTAATCCGCTTAAGCTGAAAGCACAGAAACCCCTCGGAGATGGATCCATCCTGTTAGATCGATCTAGTTTGGCAACCCAGTCTATAACGCGCTTGACTTCATTGCTATGTTGTCTGGAACAACGAACAACTAGCGCCACCTGCATAGGCCTGCGATCGATGATAAGGGATTTTGTTCCCCAAGGAGACTATCGTTTTACGTAGTTCGATCCAATATTGCGTGGATTATCGCTGAATGCAATTAGATTAACAGATAAGCACGCATCCTCTCTTGTATTCATCCAATTCAAGTTATCACCAGCTTTTCTATATTGCACTCAACGCTAGGAGGTGTCGAGAACGAGATCACTGGATTAGATTGATCGCTAAGACAGTAACAAAATATATCAGTTTCTGCGAGATCACCTACATACCCCAGTACTAGTACAGGTATGGACAAGCACTGTAGAAATATATCCAAATAGATACACGCCCCGATAGATACCACAGATACTAATCGTTAGTTAGTTAGTTAGTTAGTCAATTAGTTTTATTCCCACATACCAGTATAATACATATAGGGCCTACATTAAACGGGCAAAGCGATCCCCATTGTTATTTGTTAAAATAATATACAGCTTTAACCAACATGTTAACTAATATTTACATGTATCCGTAATTCGAGGACTGGCTATATATTTTGTTTGCGCCCCTGACGAGGCCTCAGGGCCAAAACGGCCGTAGGGCATGTTTTTATAAAATGGAGAGAAAAGTCTAATTTATTCTTATCCTTGATTTACTATATCTATATATCTATACTATATCTATATATATATATATATATAGTAAATCAAGGATAAGAATAAATTACATATAATTTATACAATTTTCTTTATATATATATAAAGTATATAGTATAGTATATATATAGTAAATCAAGGATAAGAATAAATTAGATATAATTTATACAATTTTCTTTTTGACGTCGTTTTTATCGCTATGTAGCTGGGTCATATCCAACGGTACTCGGTTTTATCAGTTTTATCGGTCCCTTTATTCACAACAGTGGACAAGACTAAGTGCGTTTCATTAAATTTTAACACCCAGTCTGACATGTTAAAGATTGATATGAAAAAGATCTGTTGATAAGCATTTGTGAGGCAAGCAATTAGGGACACAAAACTGGTGCAATTCGGGACACAAAATTGGGGCAAAGTTGACGCTACCCAAAGGCTTATATAGCCCAAAGAACTGTGGACCTGCAGGCTTGCTTGCTAGAAAGCACCGCGAATTGCGACCGCACGCAAAAATTGGTAGTGCCTTCTCGAAGGCTTGTCACCACACGCTAATAGCAATGCCATCGCTTGTATCGAGGCGATTATTTGCGACTAGTCAACCCCGTCGCAATTGCTTTTGCGAAGGGCATGTGTAAGTCATCATTTTCGCAGTGTTTCTAATGTAAATACACATGGTGGCAAGGTCTGGTTGATAGTCATAAGCTCAACAGGCAAGAGAAAACAACAGAAAAATATCGGTGGATTAGTTCTGTCTGCTTTTATTTGTTGACAAGCCTCTCTCCCTAGACGGTGACTGTGTCTAACACTACTCACCTCCAAATCCAGCGAAACCTGACTTACCTATGTGCTATGTTGCCAGACTTTTTGCTTTCTTGGATGGTTCCTACATGTATTACTATCACCTCTATGTTATTGTCATCTTGGGCTATTTTGTTTAATTAACAGATATGAGCCATGCCTGACCCCCAAAGCAGCCGTAAAGTCTTGGCAGTGGGTGTGATCTCAGGGATATGCTGTTTAATTTTCCTTATGTTTGAATCCGAAATAATTCCACCAATCCGAGTGCTGAATCCTACACCAAACAGACAATATTATAATGGGACCAAACCCATTATAATGGGACCAAACCCAAAAGTCATTTTATTTTGGACCAAATTCTTCGGATTAAATCACTGGGGGTTCGATCCCATGGGAACTGCGCCCTTCGAACGTTTGAAACACTGCCCAGTGGTTTGCGAAATGACGGGTCAGAGGTCTCGCTTAAAAGAGGCTGATGTCATCGTGTTTCACGCTCTAGAATTGGGAGACAGGCCTCAGTTGAAACTCCCAAACCAGAGATGGATTTTGTACATGATGGAAAGCCCTTGCTATTATGGTTTGAATTACTTAAAAGATTGGAGAGGGGCTTTTAACTGGACGATGACGTATAGAGCTGATTCTGATTTTATAGCCAATTACAGTGAAGTTCAGCCGATAACAGAACCCAAGGAAAGGAATTACTCCGCTATTATGGCTAAAAAAGGTAAGATGGTGGCTTGGTTTGCAAGCAATTGCAACACTCCAGGGAAGAGAGAGAAGTATGTGAAGGAACTACAACGCTACATACCCGTAGACATATATGGCGCCTGCGGTCCAATGAAGTGCCCCGCCCATACGTCGTGTGAAAAACATATCTATGAAACTTATAAATTCTACCTGTCATTTGAGAACAGTCTTGCGAATTTTTACCTCACGGAGAAGTTTTTTAAGACTCTTAAACATGACATTGTGAGCGTTGCGTTAAGTGGGGCCAACTACTCATTTTATGGTATAAAACCTGACTGGTTTATAGACGCAATGAAGTTCAAAACTCCGAAGGATATTGCTGATTTCTTGATAGAGGTAGACAAAGATGATAGCAGATACGTTCAATATCTACGCAGTAAGGAGAACGTTACATCAGTCGATGAATATTATGAATGGTGCAATGTTTGTAAGAGAATTAACGATGTGAACGACACGAGAACATATTATGAAGATATTTTACATTGGTGGCAACAGAATCCATGCATACCGCCACAGTTCTTGTGATTTTTTAAAGAAAACGTCTACTGAAATACCAGCCCCCAGTTTCGTAAAAACAAAACAAAAACAAAGAAACAAACAAAAAAAACTTAAGTCAGTTTACTAGCTAAGTTAACTAGAGAAGAATTTCATCCGCTGTGTTGTTATAAGAATGAAGTAATTTTTCAGGGATTCCCTGATGAAGATGTTCTGATAGACATCGAAATATTGGAGGTAAAAACTGTTGGCTGAAAAAAAACTTCATTCTTAGTTGACTAGGGTTTCCATGAGAGGGCTGTACCACTGATAGGGAAAGGTGTATTCAGGGAGCCTGCTTGCCTCTATGCAACCCCACAAATTGAAATGTGTGTACTGTTTTTTTTTTTTGTTTGTTTTTTTTTCTGAGAGTAAATGTATATTAACTGTAGATATTTCAGGCGTACACAATACGTGAATATCATTCATCAACATTATTCAATGTTTATCACTAATCAGCCTCACATCTTTTATCAGAGGGACCTTCAATAAATGAAGCTTTTATCGGCCAAATTTAGAACATCATAGAGCGCATTCAGAAAAGCAGACTAACAGATGCGCGGATCAAATATGGCGACACACTAAAAAGCCTGCCGCTTAATTCCCAATTACACACTGAATAGATTCCCCATGGGGATTACGCAACAAGCATTCAAGTGTGTCGGCCATATTTGATCCGCGGATCTTTAAGTCCGCTGTTCCGCGCTCATACTTGAGTTTGTTTTATTCATTTCATATGCATGTCATATAATTTAAGTCTGTTTACATCGAGGAGACATAAATGTCCATGGCTTACTAGACGCAAGTTCTCAGATGATGCTTTTTGGCAAATGCCACACGCTTTACTCTACTTGTAAATTACAAGTATTTTGACAAAATTGAAAGGAGAATTTTGACTATTGTTTGAGGAGGTATTAGCAAATGCGTTCCATTCTGGCCAATAATATTCAATATGTAATCCGCAATAAGAGTCAATGCATTTAGTGAAACTGGGCCCAAAACAGGTTTTTATTGTATTTATGTTCAAGATACCCTAGGTTCTAGATTCCGTTATTGCCAGCTTGATCTTGATTTCATATATAACCCATATCAGCAATACCAACTAGTAAAAATGACTCCAAGGTATATTTAATATTTACAAGCTAATTTTTACGTTGCTCTGACACTCAGGGTAGTTCAAGATAATCGTATCTTCAAATTGGAAAGTTTATTTTATAGATTTACATGTGTTATAAACGATATAAATGTATATATTTTTCAGTTATTGAAATTATAAACTAATTAACATTTATAATATATCTTTTTTCAGTTCTTGAATATGTATTTTGAAGTAGAATTATAGCAATTTTGAATTTTATAATCGTAACACATTACACTTTTAGCCGCATTATTTTTTTTTTAACTCCGACATATCAAACCAAAATATCTCTTCTTAGTCTCCCTCCTAAACGTACCGGTAGGTCAGAAATTCAAACACTTAACAAAAGAAATTTAAAAATAAACAACACGCTTAATCCCAAGTTATTTTCTTTAAATTTATTTCTACAACAAAGGTGGATCAATGAAAAATACACTGCATGATGTAATGAATCCGACCAGCAGAGAAAGAATGCATCAATGAAGATTAAAAGAAATTAAAAATTAAGTGTCGCAAGTTTAGCAGATAATTATATTATATATTATATTATAATTGCCGGTCGATCCATCGATATATTATTTTCAGTGGCCGCATTAAAGCACTGTGGCACTACGTATCCGAACAAATCCAGAAAAACAAGGCAAAACACGGCTATTGCCTTTGAGTTTGAAAATCAAAGCCCCAAATAAATAGCTTTATAGTTTGGTGCAAAAAGTTGTTTACTAATAACGTTATGTTATGAGCCACCTTGATACGTTTACGTCATCCTTTTAAATGTTTTTTTTTCACTCTTGCGTATTTTGATATATATATATATATATATATATATATATATATATATATATATATCATTTTGAATTTCAAAACGAGACCAGCTCATCTACACAGCCCTATCTTATGTTCATGATAACGTACTAGTATTTAATCACATCGTTACCTCTTACATATGCTACTTCTCGTACAATTCCCATAACATCTCTCCGCAAATATTTTTTTCCCTCGAGTTTAATTCCGTCTTCGGCTTCAGACATTTGATTCGGAGTACATATCATATATATATATTCTTTTCTGTTTTCTTTTTGTATTATTTTACAAATGGGACATAAAAGGCAAAATAATAATAACAGAGAAGAAAAAAATAGATAACATTAAGGTATGACCTTATTTGAAAATAGAAAAATATTGATGAGTTGTTTATCCTCCCTTGAGAAGTAATTTGAATTTTTTATGATTACGCCCATAGCGTTCAAACTGTTCGACAATAAATAATGTTTCGACGAGTAGCGTTTATATTATCAAACAGTGACTATAATAGAACGAATATTCCATTTCTGTGGACATAGCATTTTTGTAGTGGTCGCACAGCGTTTTCATGTCCGCATCCGTCAGACGACAGGTATTCGTTTTCCATGGTTCAATACACTGTCGATAGATGTCACCACTGTTGCTGTCCACGGGAATATTGGCGTCGTAAACTTTCCCGGGCGGACAGGGCAGAATAATGGGTAACAGGTTGTTGTAGTCGCAGTACCCGTATTTTAAGCACGTGTTGCACAACTGGTAGCCTGCCCCTTGCCGCCCAACGCACTCCGAGGAAGAGTCCATGCCCAGGACCCCCGTTTGCGGAACCGGTTCTTGCAGCTTTCCCGTCATGCATTTGCGACATGTCTGAATCTGGTGGCTTAAGCTGTAGTAGTACTGGTAACAGTATGCAAAGAAAAAGACATTTTCATTGTCCTTTAGCCAGTTTCCATCCGTGGCGAGGTAAGTGCACATGCCATTGAGGTCATCACGCGTGGCAATACAGGTGGCGGTCTCCAGAGCGGGTCTGACGCAAGCTTTGATGCTCTGTAATGTAAGAGCGTATTGTTGTATAAGCCTTTATTACTCTACATGTACATATATTACCAGCAGCTAGTTTTGCGGTCAAATTAAACGCAACCAGAAATAACTGAATTTCTAATGCACCACAAATGCGCATTGTTACGTGAACTTCATAGAAGGCACATACACTATAAAGACAATGTAATAAAATGTATACTGCAAACGTTTGGATATGCCCCAAGTATATTTTCTTCTTTTGCATATCCTGAAAAGCTACTTGTTTTTCCCAATTCAGACATTAAAGCTATACACCCCCCCCCCCAAAAAAAAAAGAATTAAATAAACCACGATATTAAATAAAAGTTCTCGATGACGACATTCCCTTCTAAAATGTATTGGAAGACAAGACGGTCTAAATGAATTGCCAGCAAAGAAAATTAATTGTCTACATGGGCAGTGGTGTTTTTAAACCAGGTTTCCAAATCTGAAGACAGCATAAAGAGCCGACAATGGACCTGAACGAGAGACAGCGTTCACAATTTTAAACAAACCCCTAATGACATTTTTATACAATATAGATATCTCACAATATAGTGATGGGCACTTTCCAGAAGGCGGTGACGTAATTCTGACGTCAAGATGACGTCAAGCACACGTTGAACTTCACACACAAAGGTCCCTCCTTAAGTGTGTGTGTGGGGGGGGGGGGGAACGGAGGATCACGCAGTCAAACGGATAAATACGCCAGCACTCTATATTGTAGTAAACCACAATGGATCTGACACTGAATGAGGCGGCTTCGGTTGCCATATCAATGAAGCATATTGAATACTCTAGAACCACTTAATTCTGTCAGATGAACTAATATAGGTGATGATAAGTATATCCTCTGCTCCATATGCCACCACATTAAATCATAAATAATGATACTCCGCCTTTTGTAAAAGGACAAGGCGGGTGGACTTAATTAATTGATTTAGTGAAGAAGAAACGCGTACCTAACCACACAAGCACTTACTAAACTTTTATTAAGTAACCACGTTTTATGCACTGCATGGAGACTTACCGCAAAGTATAATGCGCTTGAAGGCCTTTTGGTATTGGTGTCAGTTTATATTCATTTCAGTTTAATTTAAGATTAAAAACTTTTTTGATTTTAATGATATGATCTTAAGTGCCCGTACACTATCTCTCGCTCCCTCCCCGACTTATATCTCATCAACTTCTTTTTATTTTTCTTGCCCCCCGCCCCTCTCACTCTCTATATTTCCTCTTTTTTAATACTTTTTTATTTATTTTATTATTTCTCGTGTGTAAGGGGTGCACATGCGCATGCGCGCGTAGACGCTGTTAAATTTGAACCCACCTGATCCCAAACTTTTGCTTTTCCGCACTGAATCACAGACTTCACCCCATTGGCGCAATTTATGTAGGACCTACAGGAACTGCAGTCTTGGTGCACGCCGTTCCCGAGGAAGTAACAATCCAGGCCCAGTGTGGCGTCGTCGAAGTAGAGCTTGTCGGCTTTGGCGGTCGTAGTGGGGCAGCTGGAACAGGAGGACGCAAGGACGGTTGTAACCATGACACTGGTTGCCATGGTTGCTATCACTATGGTGACCAAAAAGACGGGTGTTGGTTTGGACATTGCGCGGGACTAAAAGTGAAGAAAACATAATGCCAATCAATAGAAATTGGAAAAGAATAAAGAAATATATTATTAATTTGACGGCGTTTCATTAGTCGAGAGCGGTATTTTTCAAATGAAAAGAGCGAAAGAAATGTTAACTGTCGAATGATGTACGTGACCACAAAAAAAGTTTTCCTAACCATAAGAAATACTATTTTAAGTGCGGATACAATGCACTGATTCTGCATTTAACTGCACTGATAACGACAGAAAAACATAGTTTATAGCATATAGAATTAATCCAATCAACATGTTGGCCACTTTTTTTCAAGAAAACTTTGTTAAATGTCATTGCCAAACTGAAATACGCTACATCCAGTAAATTTTCTTTATAAAATACGTAAATTTCTAAATGTATATAACCTGTACATTGCCGTCTTTGCAAGCCGCTGGCGCATAAATTGCAATAAATAAATGTGATCTAAGATATCAAACTTCACGAAAAGAAAAATTCACCCATTAATGACAATTCCTTACCTTAAGAGAGCACCAGACCTTCACAGGAAAACAAGAGACAAATATTTAAGTCAGACGACAGTTCTACGTCTTGATGCTTCCAGTGCCACTAGTGATCGCTTGAAGTCTCCGAGAACAAGATGCACCCACTTTTATATCAACAAATATGTACGGTGACGCACGTGGCCTCCTGGTCCTATGTACTGTGTCGTTAGACTTTATTACCAAGTCAATACATTTCCACACGTCACTGAACTAGTTTAGCTTCAAGATACTTCAGCAGGGTTGGGAACTTAAGTGCTGCATTATGCATGTATCTGTTGCCGTTTAAGATTGAGTTATGGGCCGGTGTGCGAGAGAGAGAGAGAGAGAGAGAGAGAGAGAGAGAGAGAGAGAGAGAAAGAGGGGGAGAGGGTTTGTGGGGGGATAAAAAGAGAATGTAGTAGAGTCTGTGAGAGAGAGATAAATTATTCGTTACATTTTAGGTCACTAGTTCTAATACATACCATTTTGAAAAAATTGAAATAATTCCCCATTTCTTTTGTAGTCTTTTTATTTATTTATTTATTATTTTTTTGTCTATCTATATGATCGTACAATAAATTCAATCAGATAAACATATAAGACTGTATTTTTTAATGAGCGTTTCTTTTGAATTTTTTTGGGATATTCTGTTTTGATTCTAGATAATGTTGTAATCCTTAAACCTCCGCCCCTCACCCACCCATGATATTTTATCACTAAACCATGTATCCAACGTTTAAGATATGAATAGATATTACAATAAGAAAATGTACGTGTTTTTCATTATTGTATATTTCTCTCAGTACATAATTGTTCATGCATGGTTTTTCTTGGGCAAAGAATTAATGAAACACCACAAAGGTTCAAACCACAACAATTTACGGTCAGGTGACCTTTCCCCTATTATAATTATACGGTCGTGAAGTTGAAGGTGATGTCCAAGTTTTGTTACCCATAGGCCTTATTGTGGTAAACAGAAACCTCGAACAATTTCACTTTGACGTATGTGCCTTACTTAGCGATTTAAATGAAATTCAGCAACAAAATTTGAGATTTAGATTAATTGGCATTTTTGAGAATTTTATCTGAACTAGGACCCCCCTGTGACACTTTAAGTACATACGAGAAACTTAATGAAACCACCTGTTAAATTTTAATGCACTTAATATCGTTTCCTTCTTCAAATTTGCGGTTAACGGATTGAAAGAAACGAATAACTATCGCCCTTGAAAGAATCAGTCTCATTTTATTCTTTAAAGCTCATCAAAATATAGACCATTAATTTTGCAAAATTGTTTTTACGTTAAATGATTGTAAAGAGAGACAATAATGGAAACAAACTCGTATTATTTATTATATAATAGAAAATAACATTTAGTCTTTGAAAAAAAATTAACAACCTTTTTTTTTCTTTTGGCAACAGTTTTCATTTTCTTTCATATATCTTTTATCACAGATTGGTTAACCTGTAGCAGGGAACAGTTGTCAACTTCATAGTTTCTTTTTTTCAAATTAATAGGGAACAATTTCACTGTTCTTAAAGCAGCTTTTTAACAGACAACCAGTCATACTTACAACCCAAACTTTCCAGCAAACGCCATAGTATTCGAATAAAAACGATTCCATGGCATTTAACTCCTTTACTTTATACCCATTGTGTCTAAATGTACAGTATATGAGGCTAAAGGTAAACTGTGCGCGTTTAGAAAGCAGAAAAAAACATAATACTTTTAGAATTAAAGGGATAATAACTCTTCGTTTTGTCCTGGGGTAAACAACAATTTTCCCTTACTTACCAATGGTTAATGAATCCATTTTTATATTCAAATTTAGTCCCCGGTTTTTTCTAAAAAGTTTTTTTTTTTTTTTTTTTTTTTTGTTAAAATCTCTTAAGAGATTATAACAGAGCATAGCCATCAATAGAGATCACGTGATCTGAAGACAAGCTCAGATATCAGAATAATAGCTATAACTGCTGTTCTTGTCGTAAAACAGAATATATAATATTTCCATGAGTTATTCACAATGTTTTTATTGTAAAATATAGATCTCATACGAAGAGTTATTATCCCTTTAAGTTGTTTTTCTAGAAACTAAATCCAAGTGCAAGAAGGAGTCAAGCAATGATTCGTGATAAGTGGAACTTTTCATATTTTCCTTGATGAAAATTAAAAATGGTGCGAAAATCTCCTCTGGGATCCCTTCAATTAACATTGTTTTTATATTCACATTGCTTGTCTACGTATGTAACATTTGGCACAGGGGGAATTTATAAAACAGGTCAATCAAGAAGAGAATTATATACAACACATGGGGAAAATGACCAGTGAAAGGTCTGGTCCCAAACTAAACGCAAATTATACAAAAACAAACAAACAAAAATTAGTGATATAAAAAGTGGTCATGAAATCACTCAGGAACAAGATCTCAGAAATGTGATATTGCCGAAGAATTTAATAATCAACCTGAATGTAGATGAAACTGGAAATATCCCTATAACAAATCCATACCTCTGTGGTGACTGGAAACAATGGACAGAGACACATTGATGACAAAAGGTGATTTTTTAGGCCGCTCTGAAACACAGGATGGCTTTCACGAATCATGATGAGATACATCTAGCAGGTACTATTAAAACTAAAGACCCCTAGCTCACTCAGGTTATTCACCTCGTTTTGAGGACGCCCCGGAAATATTGCGCTTTAACGGCCACCAGACAACCACAAACCCCTTACCCCTAAACCACTTCAATGCCATAAATTATCTATCAAATGCGCATGCGCAGTGTAAAGGCAACAAATAAATATTTATCGTAACTGATGCGCCAGTACTTGCATGTAGCCTACTGACGACAATGAATAGAGACAATAGATGATGTGGTTACAGCCAACTGAATGGCACTGTAATGTCACTACCTCTATTTACTGTCATAAGTCACATAACATTTTAATATGTAATTATTTGCTTTAATCAAGTTTTTTTCTGCTTTAATTGTTTTTTATACTAGCCTTTTTATTTTTACTTTCATGTTGTATTGTAAAGTTAACTGAACAAATTTGGATTTTTGACTCAAAAATAAATATTATGAATTATGTACTACTACTACTACTACTACTACTACTAATAATAATAATAATAATAATAATAATAATAATAATAATCACACAGAAAGATAACGCCTGTTTTGTACTATGCACAAGTGAAGAAAATGTCCGGTGGGGGGAGTGAGGAAAATTTTTCCAGTACGTCCTACAAACCCAACACTCCGTTGATATCATATAGCTCGTCACCTCCCCAGGCAAATTATTGCTTGCCTTCAAAAAACCTTATGCAGCGTCTCTTTTTTTTTTTTTTTTTTTTTTTTTTTGCATTAAATATTTTTAAAATTTTCTAGTATAAAGACAATTCATTTGCATTAAAATTTTTCAAATTTTTCTAGTATAAAGACAATTCCTTTATTTATGTAAACATGGCAAAACCCCTATCTTTGCGTAAAGTAGGAGAAATTTTCCATTCCCAAGGTGTCAGCAGCATGCGGAAATTACTTGTGTTGCCTATTCAGAATGTCACTGCTTTTGTTTATTCATTTTTCTTGTGCACGGTACGTACCCTTGGACAACGTACGTGAGGGCGGTCGCGTGAAAAAAATAATTGCACACGGATAAACTTTGAGGTCCCAAGAATGGGTCGTTGGAAAAGCAGACACGTCCAAAAAAGTTTAGATGCACCAAGACTAGCCTGGGGTAGTTTCCTTAAGGAATTTTAGCACAAATATTGGTCTTACCTAGCTTTATGACCAAGATTTTTACTTTGAATAAAAAAAGTAGTAGCTCCGTGAAATGAAAAAAAAACTTTCTTATATAACAAGAAAGACATTGTTTCTATTCCAGATAAATACTTAGTATATTTAGTAGACTACTATAGGTTTATCTTGAGATACTTTAAAAAGCCAATTTTAAAATCAAAAGTTTGGACCGATTTTGAGGTAAACTTCTTTTGTGAGATGTGCTCGTGGGACATTATAAAACTTCAAAATTAGCAAATCGATATATATTAATTAGGTTTAAATTTAGCAGGCTTACAGATAAATATAGTCAGCTATTTGTCATTAAGATCTCTCCGCCGTACAAGTCTCCGACAGATATAAAGTGTCGTCTGCTTTGTTACGGGGGCGTTCCTTTGCAATTAAATCACCTTTAGTTTGATCTAGTTCTCTTGCGGCTCGTTTCGGATCCGAGACGATTATTTTAATTTAATTATCCTGAGACGGTTTTGCAATTAAGTGGTCTGTGAATTTTCATTAGTACAAAACGCGAGAAAACACTTACAAGCACTAGTAGTAATTCAACACAATTCAAGGCCCTGTTCTGTAAGACGCAATGTAGTAGTTGGGTCGGTCCACATTTGAGGGGATTCTTGCTAAGTGCAATCATCGGCATCGGCTTAATTGTTTCACACGCCTTCGCGATCAGCTGTGGGGTAATTAGGCCGAGACCACACTAAAGTTAATTACCCCCTAGCTGCTTGAGTTAACCCGATTGCAATTAGCGACAGCCCCCGCAGAGTTGGGCCGACCTAGCTAGAACAATGTATCTATCTGAATGCTCCCTAATAGTGTCATTGTTATCTTTTTGGCCCTTATGGAGAACTAATTTTGTGGACAACGCAACGTTCGGGGACATGTCATGTTGAGGACTTAAAGTGCTTAACAGCACCCCGGATGTTTTCCAGCCGTGTTGAAGTGTCCGAGACATACACAATCAGGTCGCACTGGTGCGTTGCGCGTGAAAAAAAAAAAAAACAAAAAAAAAACACGAGATATACTGCGATATATCCAGCAAACACAGAACATTTGATTATCATTACGTTGCCATAAAGTTTATATTTCCAAAGAATAAAATCGTTATAAAACTGCGTTTTCTGGGTAGCTGTTGAGAGTTTGAAATATACAACCCTACGAAAATGTTGAGTAGAAATAAGCCACCGGTGCCCACTCAACGAAACTTCCTTTAAACATATAATTATAACAGAAAAGGCAAAAATTATCGTGCATGGGGAGACAATGCTAATTTTGACATGTTTAATTATTTTTGATATATTTATTTGATATTTTCCTTTTTAATTTTTCATTATTTATTCTTTCATTTACTGATTTATTATTTATTTATTTATTCTTTTATTTTACTTTGCCTACCTCGGCATGTATATATAACTAGAGGCGAGGAGAAAATCAAATATTGAAAATCGACTGTTTTGTGCAGCTCCGCTCGAAACACCCGAGAGTTTTCTGAGGGGAAAAGGAGTGAAGAGAGTAGATACAACGTCGAGGGGGACTCCTGACCATTTTTACCCCTTTTTCAGGATACAATGTGGCTGTGACTCCCAGTACGACCCTGACTCCAGCTGTTCTGTGACCCCCCCCCCCCACCCCAGCTGCAGTGTAACCCTTGGCTGCACTGTGGCCCCTGTGTAATAGGCCTATAGTAGTAAGATTTTACGCGCGTTATATCCTATATGCACAATTTACGTTATTGATTATACACTTGAGGTAATACAGGCAGAATTAAGAGCACGTGGTCTGTCAAATCACCAGCATCTCAAGTCACTTTATAATACACAGGTGCACCGTGACCCTCCAGTTGCAGTGTGACCCCACGGGTGCGCACTAACCCCTCCTCCCCCTCCCCTGTTTGACCCTGTTGCACTATCACCCCCGAATGCAGTTTTACCTAATTTGATCTGACTTTCTCCAGAAAATTAAAAAAAGAAACAAAAAGTTTACTTTGCCGCTATTTATTGACCGATGTTTAGTGCTGTGTTTACATCAAATACATTTTGGTAAAATAGATAAAGAAAATAAGAGCTAAATTTAAGATATTTTAGTATACATGTGGTAACGGTATACTCGTTTGGAACTTAAAAGCATCCATACTGTCAATATGACAGAAGGGCATATTGGAAATAAATGATAGAATTTTATCAGTAAAAACATATAGGCCCTATACTGTCAATAAGTCAGAAAAGCATATCAGAAATAAATGATAGAATTTTATCAATGAAAAAGAAATTTATATTAATTATTATATTAAATGCAATCAAGATAAGAATCTAAAACACTGGTAGAAAATAACCAACAATTCATCAAGTCCAGTAAGGGATGCGGTCCGTCTTGGATGGTATCGACTTCTGGTCTGCTCTGTGCAGGACACACTCCAAACAGTTGTCTCGTTTCCGGGTTTCCTCAGAAAAAGTAGCGCACTAGTTCAAATTATGTTCTCGAGAGGACGATTTGTAAATCCGCCATATGCTTATTCAAATCTCACATGAAAGAACGAGAGCTTTGAATAATGGCAACTGTTAATAATATTTATGGCGTTCAGACATGGGTCCGCTAGGAAAAGAATGTGAATATTTGGATCTTAAGTCATTTCATTAAGTAACTCATGGTTGGTCTGCCACAGGAAGTGGTGCCGGTCCAAAAGAAGTTTGTTTCCGGGTTCACGAAGTCACGTAGTGAATAGAGTGTTTCCTGATGATACCACTGAAAGATACACAGAAGAATAAATAAGTAAATAAATAAATATATATATATATATATATATATATATATATATATATATATATATATATATATATATATATATCCACTTCTACCGTTTGCAATTCATTTTGCCAACCAAAAGTATTTTTACATACATGTAGGCCTACATATGATGTGCACAAACATTGGAAAAAGAAGGGAAATATGTCTAGGAAAATTCAAATAAAAAACAGAAGAATGTCCTTTTTTTCACACTTTCTCTAACAACGCTTTCGCACTGGTTCCGTGAAGTAAGTTCTCTACACAAGAACGTATTAGTCTGTCCTGAAATATCTTCTTAAACAATGACTAATGTTTATTTTGAAATTATATTTAAGTATATATCTTAATAATTTTATGAGAATCTATCCAAACCACACCTTAGTTCTCTCTTCGTTGAAGATCCAGGAGTCTTTTAAGTAGATTGATATTGGCGTCTTCAACTGAAAGGAAAATCATACAGAGCTACAATAAAATTTCATTTGTAGGTATGCAGACACACAATTACTGGCTGCACATACATAATAATTATTGGCACTTCTTTCACACCAGACTTTAGTTAGTGTGTGTACATTCATTTTACCTCTGCCCATTTCCCGTTGAAGATCCAAGATTCTTTTAAGTAGGTTACTATTGGCGTCTATTTTTCACACACTGGGGCTTTTCACTGCACACATATACGGTGGCTCCTAATTAAACCTATCCCTTTTTTCTTCTTTTTTTAACAGTTATATTACATTCATTTTTCCTCTGCCCCTTTTCTCCTGATCATCTACAGACCAGATTTAAATATCTCCACGCTTTTTTTTCAATAATATATATATACTTATAGATATTATGTGTCCGTGGCAATTAACGCTTTATTCAATTTAAGCTTCATATTGCTTGTTTGTTCGTCTGTTTGTTTTTAAAATATTGATAGAAAGTAATATTTTGCTTAAACGACCATCTTTATGGGTGCGAAAAATGCGAGTGTTTTAATGGCATGTGTACGTGTTTGTGTGCGTGTAACCACAATTACCTCGTTTATCGTCGTTAACCCGATATGCTGCATACCCTAGAATCAAAAAAGATTATAATGACCTAGTGCTTTTTCTTTTACGACAATTTCAACAGTGATTTACTTTTTCAGACTGGATCAATCTTTTCACTGCACACATATACGGTGGCTCTTAACTTACTTATTTTTTGCTTTTCTTTCTTTCTTTTTTTTTTTTTTTAGACAGTGTAATGTGAAATGTTTATAGATATATATATGTGACAGTGACGACATAAGTTTTCTTTCGGTTTTAAAGGTGTTTTAGTTTGTTATTCTGTATAGATTAGTTAAAGTTATTTTCTGCTTTAGGCTCCATCACGTGTCACCGGTCATTGGTCACGTGTGTACATGTATGTGTGCGTGTTACCTGCGGTCCCTCGTTTATCGTCGTTCATCCGCTTGCTTGTATAATACCCTGAAATGAAAAGAGAATGTCCTCTGCACATTTTTACCAGTATTGCAATTTCCTTAATTATGGTGTCTTCCAGAAAAAAATACCAACAAATATATGATGATTTAGCTTTCCAAATGTGTCCTGACTGTGAGCGGTTATTTGTCACGTGTGTACATGTATGTGTCCGTGTTACCTGAGTTCCCTCGTTTATCGTCGTCAACCCGCTTGGCAGGATACGCTGAAATTAAAAAAGGAATGTCTTCTGCAAATTTCTTACAGTATTAAGTTCTTTGTCTTCCAAAACAATGTGCCAACAAAAATTTGATGATTCAGAGTTTTTGTGTCCCTGACTGTAAGAGGTTATACAAAACTTCAACAGTTGGTGTATTTTCCTAGTTAACGAGTTAATGAGGAAAACAGTGTTTTTCTGTACTTAAGTTATAACACAAGTGGATGAATCGTAACTTCCTCTTTGTACAGCATGATGATTTAGCGTTCTTGTTTGGCTACGGTGCATACAGGCCGACATTGGAGCAGTTTTAGTATTTGTGCTACAAAAACATACGGTAAATGCATCCTAAATATCAAGTACCACTTCATTTTTTTTTTCGATTTTTAAAAAGATTTCTCGGTATTTCTCTTTAGTTTCAATGTGCATTTGTGCTTAATGGCGATTGGTTATTGATCTTGTATGGCTACGGTGCAAACACGCCAACAGTGGAGCATGTTTACAGTTTTAGGCTTCGTGCAAAAAAAATTTAGCCTATGCTGGGAGACGCCTTTTCTTCTTGTCTACGTCATTGGCGTTGCAACCCCTATAAGTGTGCTGCGACAGATGAAGATATAGAGAGAGAGGTCAATACAACTTGGTCCTTTGTTTTTATTCAAAATTAAAACAGTCTGCACTCTTTCGGCCTAAGGGTATTGCATCGCAGAAATAATATCGTAGAACCCCTGATCACATAGCCAGATATATATGCGTTTGCCAAACCAAAGTGACCGTCTATCTAGCTAGAGACATATCTGTGAATATCTGTAAAAAATCTATTTGTCGCCCTGGTAGAGGGTAAACAATGTACATCACAAAATCTGAGATCGTCTTAATAAAACTGACCATATACAAATGTAGCCAGAAATCTACACTCGCGTGCTTTATGTGTGAATTTATTTATTTATTTATTTATTTATTTTTATTTATTTTTGAAATTAAAGACGATATAATGATTTTTTGTTTTTTATCAGCTACTAAAAATTGAACAGTAGCGTATTCTTAAATATTGAAGAACGCTTCAAATACAATAATGCAATTCTGTCCGTAAGTATTGCGTTTTCATATTTATTTATCATTTTAATGTGTTACTTTAATGTCCATCTGTATGTGTGCGTGACTGTGAGAGGTTATTAATCGCACGTGTACATGTATGTGTGCGTGTTAACTTAATTACCTCTTCTGTCGTTATTCAGCCGGTATGGATACCCTGAAATAAAATAAATATATATTTTTTTATGTTCTTCATCGAAACATTTTTTGTGTAAAAAGGGATTGCTTGTTCAACTACATGTACATGCATCATCAGGCATGCGGGTGCAGATGTTTACGTTACATGCTAACGTGCTTGTGTGTTATTCTTCCTCGTTTTCTATTTCTCATCTTTGTTCCTCTATGTGAGCGTGTAACCGCTGCAGAAATTAAATGTTTTTTCATCATTATGGAAGCAGGCAAAAACGTTTTTAAAAATTGATCAAATTAAAGGAACTCATCTTGACACGCTTATCCGCCTCTTGTGTTTTACTATATTGATAAATCAAAGCCATATTTTGCTTTAGTGTCTAGCTATATTGTGCGTTGTTTCGTGTTCTTTTGACCGCTTGTGTACGTATATGTGTATGTTTCCATAATTATACCTCGTTTCTCGTCGTCAACTCGATTGGCTGCATACCCTGAAATAAAACGAGAACATGATTTAGTTTTCTTCGTAGAATGAAGCGGTTGGTCGAATCAATATCAGTGTAAAAATAATTGTTAGATCAACTACACGCATCAGCATGTATGCGAGTGCATGTTTGCGTTGTAAGTGCGCATGCGTGCATGTTACCTCTTCCTCTTTTCTCCTCATCGTCTATGTCATTGTCATACAGCCGCTGAGCTCTATAACCTAAAATCGAACAAGAATACGGTAATTTTTCATAAAAAATGTCAACATTAATGCATTTTCAGGAATTCAGAACGCTTATATTTATAACCGTCTTTAGCAAAATACAGTATCAGGCCTGCAGCAAATTCGTTGTGAATTTGGCGCAAATTTGCTGCAATAAGACTGCAAATATGCAGCTACATTTTATTTATTTTAAACTCCTGCAAACTCGTTGCTGCAAACTTTTCATTTTGTTAAGGGTGCCTCTTTTATATTCGTTATAGTATTCTATTCTGTAAATTGTTAGCCAGTCAAAATCCCTTACAATCGTCGACCCTACAATGACACAGGAATTCATCAGTTGGTGTATTTCCCTGGTTTACTGTCTTCCAGAAAAACACCAACAAATGTACAGCATGATGAGAAAAAATATTAAATCTGACACTGGATCTCTCTTGAATCGAGTAACACTACGTTCTGACCTTCTCACAAAGACTTCCTTAAAACTTTGGTTGCACGCTTCCGTACTTGGGTGTTATTCTCTCTCGTTTTCTCTTTTTCATCTTTGTTTCTGTATGTTCATGAGCGTGTATAACCTCTGTCGCAGTTAAATATTTTGGGCGTTTTTTTCATAATGGAAGCAGGCAAAAACAATTTTTTTAAATGAACCGAATTAGAGAAATGCACGGTGATATGTGTTAAACTACCGTATATTGATAAATCAAAGTTAAATTTTGTCTTAATGTCCAGCAATATTGTGCGTGATTTCGTGTTCTTTTGACCACGTGTGTAGGCCTACGTGTATATGTGTGTTTCCATAATTACCTCGTTTATCGTCGTCAACTCGATTGGCTGCATACCCTGAAATAAAACGAGAACATGATTTTGTTTTCTTGGCAGAATCAATATTTGTTTAAAAACAAAAAAATGAATGTTTGATCAACTACACGCATCAGCATGTATGTGGGTACATATGTTTGTGTTGTAAGTACCAGAACGTGTTCATGTTTGCGTGCGTGTGTTCTTACCGTAACCTCTACCGTAACCTCTACCGTAACCTCTGCGATTCACCTCGTCATCTACGTCACTGTCGTCCACCCGCTGAGTTGCATACCCTGAAAATAAGACGACTATTTAGTATTCTCGTCTACTACAAACATTAAGACAGCGTTGCATTATCACAGTTTTGGGGTTAATTCGATTTGTAATTTTTTCGAAAAAAAGTTACATATATCTTTACGTCTTTGTCGTCCTCCCGTTAAGCTTCATAGCCTGAAAATAAGAAGACTGTTTATTATTCTCGCCTGCTACAAATATTAAGACAGTGTTACATTTTGACAGATTCGGGTTTTATTCTATCTGCACTTTTTTTCGTAAAAATAATTTACATGCATATTCGTTTCATGCTTCCCATATCCCTTTATAGCATAAAAGAGTGTGTGCGTTTGTGATGGCGATTGGTTATTTATTATGTGTGTACAGGTATGAGAGCGTCTATGTTCCTATTACAGTAAAATGCATGTGTGCACTGCCGTTTGTATGTGTGTCAGCGTGTGTAAGTACCAGTACATGTTCATGTTTACGTGCGTGTGTTCTTACCGTAACCTCTTCGCTTCACCTCGTCATCTACGTCACTGTCGTCCACCCGTTGAGCTCCATACCCTGAAAATAAGATGACTATTTAATATTCCTTGTCTGATACAAACAATAAGGCAGCGTTGCAATATTTACAGTTTCGGGATTTATTCTATCTGTAATTTTTTCGAAAAAAAGTTACATATATCTTTACGTCTTTGTCGTCCTCCCGTTGAGCTCCATAGTCTGAAAATAAGATGACTGTTTATTATTCTCGCCTGCTACAAATATTAAGACAGTTTTACATTTGGACAGATTCGGGTTTTATTCTATCTGTACTTTTTTTTCGTAAAAATAATTTACATGCATATTCGTTTCATGCTTCCCATATCCCTTTATAGCATAAAAAGAGTGTGTGTGTTTGCGATGGCGATTGGTTATTTATTATGTGTGTACAGGTATGAGAGCGTCTATGTTCCTATTACAGTAAAATGCATGTGTGCACTGCCGTTTGTATGTGTGCCAGCGTGTGTAAGTACCAGTACATGTTCATGTTTACGTGCGTGTGTTCTTACCGTAACCTCTTCGCTTCACCTCGTCATCTACGTCACTGTCGTCCACCCGTTGAGCTCCATACCCTGAAAATAAGATGACTATTTAATATTCCTTGTCTGATACAAACAATAAGGCAGCGTTGCAATATTTACAGTTTCGGGATTTATTCTATCTGTAATTATTTCGAAAAAACTACATATATCTTCATGCCTTCCATATCCCTTTATAGAATGCATGACTTTGTGGAGGCAATTGGTTATTGATTATGGGTGTGTATGCGTGAGAAGCCAGCAATTTCAAAGGGGGGGTCTTTTTCCGAAAAAAGTGGACCTTTTTTACAGTGAGACCTACATGTGCTATATTTTTATGTTTTCATAAAGGCAAATAACAACAAGTCTTGGCAGATTTTATTCTTTTTTTTTTTTTTTTGCATTTTTCCTTTACTGCAAGATTATTTTGGAACAGTTGCAGCATTAAAAATTAAAATAAATAGCAATCTGAAAGAAGAATTTTGCATAATTACTAAATGATGATAGGAATTTTGGATTAAGAGATTAATTAAATATTGATATTGTCAGTCAATTTATGTAGAATCTGATAATATGATTGAAAATACTGATTAAGTTCTTGGCCTTGCACTGGGCAGTTTTACATTTCTGCCAAGTGCTTTTTTTTTTTTTTTTTTTTTTTTTTGACTCCATTGTACAGTGGTTAAAGTTCTTCGATTGCCATGAAAGTTTTTAATCAGACACTGTATGGTGCTGTCATATGCTGGTGCTATCGGCAACGAATTAATTTGCCTTTGTTTCTGAGTGAATCTACCGTCTAAAATCACTATTTCTGAATATATTTGCTTTTTGCTGAGGGTAGGCTAGGCAATGCACGGCAAACTTCTTAGTACGTGTGTACAACATAATTTAAAAAAAAAACCTAGCAAAATTTGGTCAGGAATTGCTTGAAGCATAGCACAGCGTTGCTGTTTATCGCATCAGGCCGTTAGTTTGTCAATTATCACTAATAACCTACCTTGTATTGTATTGTATTGGGGGTAGTAATTGCAATAAACAAGCACAAAAACTTCTTTGTGTTAGTACCATTCAAAAGACTTCCGTTCACACCCATTAGACTGAGATAGCGATCAGCTGGCTACCTGGGCTTCGTTTATTTTAAAAGCCGGACATCCACTTTTACAAACAGGCTTCCCCAGCACTAGTGGGCTAGATTTGGTCTTAAAGTGCAATTTAAGTTCACAAGTGATCTTACACGATCTTAATCATTACTGCAGTAGTCTTAAAATGGACTGAATCTGCTTTTAAGATCAAAAATGATCTTACATCTACTTAAGTGGTCAAGCAGTTTCCACCCCCCCCCACAATGGGGGACACCTCCCCTCACAATGGTGACACCTCTGCTCACAATAGGAGAATGTGTAAGAGGAGACAACTTAATTGGCTGTCAGACTAGAAATGGTCTTACTCATGTTTTAAGATCATGTAAGACTATTTGTGTTCTTAAATTGCATTTTAAGACCATATCAAGCCCACTAGTGCAGTTAAGTGTAAATAGACCAGGGAATTATATCCGATATAATTCCCTGAATCTAAAATCTACATGTAATGCTAAACGGTATATTAGATATTAGCCTGAATGGACATAGGACATAAAAGGACATAGAATCTAGATCAAATTTTGGTTCAGAGAGAAAAAAAGGGCGGTTCGTTCGGACCCCCCCCCCCCCCGGCTACGTTAAACATTAACGAATGTACCGCATGATGAGAAAAAATTAAATCTGAAACTGGCATTTAATTCCAGGTACCACATCTAACATGACTTATGGTAGCTAAATTACGAATTAGTTGTGAAGATATCTATATTTTATACCATTTATTCAAATTTATGATATGTATTCCTTGAAGGCATGCCACGCCGCCCACACTATACACTTGCAGTACGCAGTCGGCACAAGCTATCACACGCGTGTTCTTTAACGAACATACATATATATATATCCTTATGCTAATTGTGCGTAAATTTGGTGACGTTTTTTTTTTTTTTTTTTTTTTTTTTTTTTTTTTTTTTAATGAAAACATTTAACCTCTGTGGATTTCACAGTGAAACATTGGATTTTAGGGGGTACATGCTATCAATTTAAATAAATGGTATAAAATATGAATATATCTTCACCTAAATAACAGCAAAAGCATTTATACCTCACGTGCTTTATTAAAAAAAAAGTAATATGTGATTTCCTTTATTAATTCATTGAATCAATATAAATATTCTGCTTTTATGGCTTTTAGGGGGTGCATGCTGTAAATTAAAGTAAATGGCATAAAATCTGGACAACTTTACCGATATATTATATTTTTTGTACTAATATATTACCTCTCTTCTCTACCTCTTCGTCATTGACTTTATCGTTTATTTTCTCAGCTCTATACCCTAAAACAGAGCAAGAATAATTGTAATCTGTCCATCACCTAAATTACAGCAATGGCATTCATGCCTCTCTCACGTGCTTTATCTCAAAGTATAATATGTGATTTCTTTTATTAGTCATTAAATCAATATAAATATTCTGATTTGTTGGATTTGAGGGAATGCATGCTATGAATTACAAATAATTTGGACAACTTCACCAATGTATTGTATTTTCTGTAAAAATATATTTTACCTCTTCTCTCCTCTAGCTCTTCGTCATTGACTTTGTCGTTTATTTTCTCAGCTCTATACCCTAAAACAGAGCAAGAATAATTGTAATCTGTCCATCACCTAAATAACAGCAATGGCATTTATACCTCACATGCTTTATTTAAAAAATAATATGTGATTGCCTTTATTATTCATTGAATTAATATTAATATTCTGCTTTTATGGCTTTTAGGGGGTGCATGCTGTAAATTAAACTAAATGGCATAAAATCTGGACAACTTAACCGATATATTGTGTTTTCTGTACAAATATATTACCTCTCTTCTCTACCTCTTCGTCATTGACTTTGTCGTTTATCTTCTCAGCCCTACTGGGGGTAAACCCTAAAACAGAGCAAGGATAATTGTTATTTGTCCGTCACCAAAATATCAGCAATGGCATATCTCCCTCTGTTTTCTGCGGCGCAACTATGTGAGTGCGTGAGACGTCATACATGCGAGTATCCGCGGACCCCCCTTCAAATTATTCTAGATCCGCCCCTGCTGTCTGGACATGTATGTGTGCGTGTAACCTCATTAACCTCGTTTGCTGTTAATAGCCCGTTTATCGTCCTATAATCTGACCACAATACCAGGGGCGGATTTAGGCCGTCTTCTGGGTCTTCCAGAAGACGGTCAGATTTTCAAGTTTACATTGACGGGTATCCAATTTTTAATGTTGGAAGACGGTCAAAATTGGAGGATGAATCAACAAAGATAATTTGGAAGACTGTCAGTATATAGCTCTGGATCCGCCCCTGAATACTACTTTACTAATTTTATCTCCCATTAGTTTGTGGGTGTCATGGCGATTTTAATGAATTACTTTGAAAATAACCGTTTTTTTTTCTGCCTGCCCGCCATTCTTCTCATATCTCTCTCATCGTTTCTCTCTCTCTCTCTCTCTCTCTCTCTCTCTCTCTGTCTCTCTCTCTCTCTCTCTCTCTGTGTGTGTGTGTGTGTGTGTGTGTGTGTGTGTGTATGCATGCCTGCTATTTCCGTTACCTCTCTTCTCTTCCATTCTATACATGTATGGACGCCTTGAAATTCAAGAAAAAATATTGCCGTACAATTGTATCATTAATACGGGTTTCACCTATTGCCACATTTATCTGGTTATTCATCACGCGTAAGCACACGACCACATTGATTTCTTATCGCACTTTTTTTGCATAAAGAAACATAATAAAAATGGCGGCTTTTCAATTGGTGAAAAGTTGGACACAAACAACTAAGGGCGTATGCCCAGAGCTTAAAGATCGATCTATCCCCGCGGGGAGTCTCACTAGATTACTGTAAGATAATCCGGCTTAAATGTCCGTCCCGCCTACTACAAGCTATAAGGGGGTAATTAACTTTCGTGCCCGCTCGGCTGACAGCTATCTAGCGTGAACCCCCAGGGAGTTAGGTCGATCTAAAGTAGATCGATCTAATCTCTGGGAATGGGGTCTTAGGCAACATTCACAGCAGCGGGCTTACTAGTCCACCGATCAAATATGGCCGACCCCCTTAAATGCTTGTCGGTTAATCCCCGCCGGAATCTATTCAGTGTCTATTAGGGGATTATGCGACAAGCTTTTAAGTGGGTCGCCATATTTGATCCGGGACTAATTAGTCCGTGGTTGTGAAAGAGGCCGAGGTCTGCTAGTACATCGTGCCGATCACTTCTTCAACTTCCACGGTTCACAAAATATGCACATGTATCTGAATGCATCGTCACAAAGCTATAAAATATTTAAAAATCACGAACGACCATTTTAATACGAAAAAAAAATCACTGAACTGGACAAGCGATCTAAAAATAATGGTTTTATGTTTCTCACATATTACGTCATAGAGAAAAATGTTTGTAAATCGAACTTTGTATGTACTACTCTGTTCCGGTATGTCGTTATGATATCAGTATACATATTTATCTGATATTTATCTGCCTTTAAACATATACATTTCCTTTTGGCATTTATACTGGTACGGTGTGCTGTGTCGATAACAATGAAACTGATTTGGGGTACATTGTTGACATGAAAAACGAGTAGCAGTTTGTAAAACGAGGAAGAAAATGAAACCCAGCTGTAACTAGTTATAGCTGTTGAATTCTGAGAGAGAGAGAGAGAGAGAGAGAGAGAGAGAGAGAGAGAGAGCAAAGAAAAGACAGAGAGAGTGGAAATGAGAAACCAGTGAGAGAGAGAGAGAGAGCGCGCGTGTGTGTGCTTGGGGGAAGGGGATCTTCATCTGCTCCATTCTCTTCGTTGTCCACGTAAAAGTCTTGATCGTTAATTTTCTGTCACTAACTGTCTGTTCAACTAACTGTTTGCGTGATATTAACATTCTGCTATATCAATTAACTATCCAATATTTCCTTACAAGGCACTCTTTGGAAGCTGTAGTTCATT